AGTTTGTTTACTTCGTCTTTCAGTGCCTCGTACCTTTCCGGATTGAGGGCACGCCTCTTCTGTCTATGGAGGCATAGGAGGGGTTGATGTTAAGGTGATGACAACTGATCCTAGGATCTAGTCTCACCATATCTTCATGTTTCCATGCGAAGACATCCAAGTTCCCTTTCAAGAAGCTTATCATCTCTACTTTTGCTTCAGGGGACAATGACTTTCCTATACGCAAGACCTGACTGGGGTCTTCTGGGTTGGCGGGGAAAGTCTCCAATTCTTCCATTGGGGTCGCATTTGGTTCAGAGTCAATTATTCGGGGATCTAACTCATCAAGGGGGTATCCTTGTTCAGGGACTTCTTCCATGTCGACGTCTCCCTCTTGTTCAGAGGTATGCCCTTGTTCAGGGGCATCGAGCATTTCCACGTCCGTACTGACTTCAGCGGGTACCTCAGTTAGGATTACATTAACAGTTTGGGGCTTGGACTTTCGCAACGAGTTTATGTAGCATGCCCTGGAGCCCATCTGATCGCCTCGGACCATAGCAATCCCATGTTCGGTTGGAAATTTCATGCACAAGTAGTGGATGGACGTGACAGCCCAAAAATCTTTCAAAGCGGGTCTGCCCAATACTCCATGATAAGCCGATCTGTGATCTACCACCAAAAATTTCATGAAGTGTTGGGCCACTAGGGGTGCCGAACCCATCTCGACAGACAGAGTGATCCGCCCTTGTGGGATGATGTTGTCCTCGGTGAATCCGAATAGTGGGTCGGTCATAGGGATTAACCCATGTTCAATTTACATTTTGTCAAAAGTGGAGCCGAATAATATGTTCACGGAACTGCCATTGTCAACGAGCATGCGTTTTAACCCGTTTCTAGCCACTACGGCTCTTACAACCAATGCATTACAATGGGGATGGTGAACCCCATTTGAGTCTTCCTGGGAGAAGGTGATTGGGGTCATCCTATCTACTGCTTGCGACTCGTTGACAATGTAAGTGATCGTTGGTGGGTCCTTTGCTTCCCTTGTGTAATTTCTCTGGGCATTCATGGTGTTGCCACCGACGTGGGGTCCCCCAATGATAGTATCGATTTCCCTGATGATCTGGGTTCCAGAAAATTGGGCTTGGTTTCCCTGTCTTGATTGACCTTGGTCACTTGATTCTCTTCTTCGAGGCGATTGTTCTCTGTGCCCTCTATCCCCCCTCCTCGGGGAGGCGGATCTGCGAGAATATTCGTTCCTGTTGGAAGGGTGTGGGTTGCTTCGATCAGGGCGTCGATTTGCGTCTCGACACTCACTAGTGTCGTATCCATAGAGTTGATGGAACGTGTAAAACCTTGCCCCTTCCAAGGGTCTGTTTGACCTCTTCTTCTTCTTGTTATCAGCTCTTCTAGATGGTCCCGCTTCGGCAGGGGCATTCTCATATGCCAACACCGGTACTGCATTCAATGTGGCGGAAGCCAGGGCCTGTCCAGATGTGGGAGCTATTGTATGACCTGCTTGGGTCCATTGCTGAGTAACAAGGTGTGTTGCGGGTCCTCGACTTACCTGCCTTTGAGGCGGAGGGAGTCTCTGCGTGGCACGATTGCGATGATCAATCATTTCTTCACTAACGATTTCCACTCTCATCATTTCCACCAGCTCGTCATATGTGGAGGGATTCTTGTTGCGCACGTTCCTCCAGAACAAAGTGTTCATAATGAGCCTACCTTTCAGGGTTGAAAGGGCTTCTCTGTCAGTGACCTGTTCACAGTAGGTGATTTCGTCTGTAAACCTGGCGAGATAGCTTTTTAGCGTCTCCCCAGGGGCATGCCTCATATCTTGCAGGCGTTGCACTGGTGCCTCTCCTTCCCTACGTGAGAGGTACTGGTTCAAAAATACTTTCTTCAAATCTGGCCAACTTCTGATACTTAGGGGAGGAAGCCTATTGTACCATACTTCGGCGGCCCCGCCTAGCGTTAAATGGGAGGCTCTACATTTCAAAGCAGGCGAGGCTCCCCTAAGGCTCATCTATGTCATGTATTTGGTGAGGTGCTTCTCCAGGTCCCTCTTTCCTTCATACTTAGGGATCTTAGGAGGCATGAAATTTGCTAGCATTGGGAAGCTTCGAATCTACCTTGAGAAAGGGAGGTTATCATCATCATTGTCAATCTCATAAGATCGACAGGGCCCATCTGACTCTTCGTTATCTTGAATGTTCTGGGGAGATGGAGGTGCTTCTCCTCGACTTCCCCAATCGACTAGGTTCCTCCTGTCTCTCCTATTTCTAGGAGGAGGGAGAGCATGTTCTTGTTCGTGTTCTGGTCGAACCGATCCTCTTATTGGGTGGACCCTAGTACTATGACCCTCTCCTATCCGGTCGAAGACGCTTACCGACCTCTGGTCCTCATGTTCTTGAGGGAAATTGTCCCCCAAGTGTGGTTCTGATGGCTGGCTCCCTTGCACATAAGATGTGGCTTCGGTGTTCATCTCCCTTTCGAGGGGACGTTCTGTATGCCGGCTCATGTGGCCTCGGGAATGAGATACAGGAGCTTCTCGCACTGGATAAGATCCTTAGGGCATTTGATAGCCCTGATGACCCGGAGCTTGCATTAGGAGTTCATGCATTGCCATATCTGAGTTGCGATGTCTCTCATACTCGCAGCTATCTGAGCCATTCCTTCAGTGAGTATGGCTGTTCTTCCACCTCGGCGACGTCGGTGATGTGGTCTCTGATGAGTAACATTGTTACGGAGTACCTCTTCTTCAAAGGCCTTTCTCATGGGGTTGTAGTCTTCATGGCTATAGCTCATCCTACCTCCTTTTTCAAGGGTGGTGAGAATTTGGATTGTAACTCGACTTTGTTCTTTTTCAGGAACGTCCCCTTTTCAGGTTTAGTGGTTAGTTTTCCGGTAATTTCTCCGATGGAGAATGCAGAACTTCGAACGGGAAGTTTTCCCACAGACGGCGCCAATCTGTTGACATCGAAAATTGGTCCTTCCACGTGGTCAACTGAGAGCTACTCCACGTATTCCTCCCTGCGCACAATTAGTGAACGGTCAGACGCACACGGTCGGGACCAGCGGGGGTGGCGCTGCCGTATACACTCCGACGGTCAAGTCAGGTTTTGGTGGTCGGAACAGTACCCAGGGGTTGTGCAAAATAATGATAAGGAGGAGGAGAAATATATAAGCTTGCTATGGAGTGCTATGTAGTAAGAGTTTCATTACATTTGCCTCTTGCCAAACCTTGGCTATTTATAGGTGGGACGAGTCGTTGGATGTGGGACACGTGTATACATCTGACGGTATGAGGCGTCCGCTCATAGGCGTCGATCAGCCGCGTCTGTAGAGTGGGCAGACAACTTGTTTCTCCTGAGTTGAATTGACATAAAATTGATAAGTCACATCAACTAGCCTCATGGAGACGTCAAATCAATTTAAACCTTAGGTGCAGGAAGGATCTTGGCACAAATCTCTTTCTGAAATTGGCGACGAATCTTCTAACCAGGGTCTACTTGGCCTCTGCCTCAGGGGCGAGGTGCTAGGGATGTCAATTGGGCCGAGTCGGCTAGCGGCTCGTTGGCTCGGCTCGTCAAAACTTGGCTCGTGAGCTGCTCGGGCTCGTCATTTGACGAGCCCGAGCTCGAGCCGAGCGGGGGTCGCTTCCAACGAGCCGAGCCCGCTCAGCTCGTCGAGCTCGACGAGCGACTCGTGGGCCGAGCTCACGAGCCGAGCCCACGAGCCGGCTCGTCCAAAAAAGTGGAAAAAATTAAAATTTTATCAATAAAATTTGAAAAATTTGCAAAAAAAAAAAATCACGAGCTCACGAGCTATTCGTGGGCTCGGCTCGGCCCGACCCGGCCCATGAGCTCGTGGCTCGTGGCTCGTGAGTACACGAGCTCGGGGGCTGAGCCAAGCTCGCCCACAAGCAACGAGCCGAGCCCGAGCTCGACTCGTGAAAAACGAGCCACAAGCTCGGCTCGCCACGAGCCCGAGCCGAGCTCGTGGGTTAACGAGTCGAGCCGGCTCAGCTCGGCCCACTGCCACCCCTACGAGATGCTTCGGTCAGGTCAGTAGTAGGGATCGTCTGTACTTCGCAGCGTTCTACTAGGTTGCAGACATTGCTGATATCACTTTGGAAACACTTTGGGTGGGTCTTTATCAGGTCGGAATATATGGTGGTGCGCGTTCCAAGGCGGTTCAAATAGGGGCGTAACAGTCATCATTAAGTGGGTGAAAGTCTCATGCACAATTTTAAATGAAAGAAATAAGTAAGGAATCTTATTTATGTCTTCCTCACCCACACCAGTTATTGCCTTGAAGTATTTTTCATATTGAAATGAATCAAAATTCATAAGGGGTTGGCTAGGGAAACCCACAATAAAAACTCCAACAATCTGACTTGTTTTCACCATGCCAAGAAGTACATAATTTTGGTGGAATATAAAGTGAAACAAAGATCAAAATAATAGCACATCCAATCCTCTAATTGAAAACCAGAAATTTCTCATTGGTGTGTGTATGTATGTATGTATGTGTGTGTGTGTGTGTGTGTGTCTATATATATATATATATATATATATATATATATATAATATGCTTTGTCATTACAAATATGGAGAGGCAATAAATTATAAATAATTTAAAAATATTAGTTGAAATCTACTCTTTCCTTCAGAACCGTTCATGACTACATGAACTATCCAAGACTACAAGGACGTCTTTCATAATCATAGAACACATCCAAAAAATACTGCAGCTAAGGGTCAACTAATCCTTTCTCTGCAGCATTTTCTCCTATGGCTATAAGAGCTCTATCAGTTAATGTAGAAATTAGAATGCAGCAGCAATGAGCTAGAATATTGGTCATCTCAAGGTAATCCATGGCTAGCCAGTGCACAGCACCTCTCAAGAAAGCTTGAGAAAATCACATTTCAAAATGTTGTACCTCGGCAAGAATTGTCACTGGTCCGTCGAACACCGATATAATGCATGTGTATATGCAACACTATAATCATATGTTAAAGGAATCTTAAACGAAATAGCGATTTTATTTCATCAGGCACATAGGCTTAGCCTGCACTCCACTGAAAAAACATGTATTAACCAGAGTTTTTTGCATATCCAACCAACCGATACGAAATGTAACCGAAGAAAAAACTTCAAACATGCTAGAAATTTGGACATTTTTGTTAAAGAAAAAAAGAGAGCAATATTGATATTATGAAAAACAAGAAAGGGGATGAACAAAACATTTGTGTCTCAAGCCCATTTGGCCAAGAGAGACATACATCCAGCGCCTAGAAGAAGAGAGACATTTGCTCCTAACTGAAGCTTTCCATTGCTTTGCATTTTTGGACTCATAAAGTCGGCTGAAAGAAGATCTACGAGTGCCATGTAGATCAAGATCCCGGCCGATGCTGAATTAAAAATCCCCTCAACAATAAGAGCAGTGGGACTCGTCTCACTATAAATGTTGCTTATTCCAATACCTATCAAAATGCCAACTGGGGTTGTGAGAGAGAAGAAGATGGCCATTGTTGCAACTGTCCTTGACTTAAACTTAGCCTGCAAATTAAGAGCCCAAATAATTATTTGAAAAAAAATTAAAAGTAAAATAAAAAAATGCATGTAAAAATGTATTTCTGAAAAGAATATGGATTGAAAGGAAAGAAGCATATTAATTCAAGCATTGTCATAATATTGTCACGGTGGAGACGTAAACCAAATAAATCAGAGAGCAATGAGATGCAAACGCAACAAAATACTAAAATTGTGGTTCGCTAAGTCAATCTTTTATCTAATATTTTATCTATTTTCACAGAGAGAGCTCAAAACAATTTGGGTCGCCTTTTAAAGAATACTAATAAAAAAAGCTAGACGAAATAAAAAAATATATATATATCACATGAAATCACAGATGGTACTGACGAAAAACAATATCAACCAGTAGTTCAAACGAATTTATCTATAACAATTTAATAAATTTGATTTGCTGATTGAGATGTTCAATTTAATTAAAATAAATACTTTAATATTAACGTACAATTTTTTCGGGAATAAAATAACAGTTGCAATATTAAAGTGAAAAATATCAAGAAATTTTAAATTATTGACGAAAAATTAGAAACAAGTGAATGAAGAATAAATGCTTATTCATTGACAATCGAGGATTGAAGCACTTTTCTAGCATTTGACCAATTTAATTCTAGAAAAGAAATTATTTTTTTAATCACGTCCTAACATTCTTCTATGTACCTCCTATGTCGAGCCAACTTCTGATATAAAGACGCGTAACTTACGATAAAAAAGATAAAACCTTATGTCAACAGAGACTTAAAGAATGAGAGAAGGTGAGAAGATGAAAAATACATAGAGAGAAGTGTGAAGAACGAAGGAAGACATGAAATCTGTTGCATGTGTATGATTTCTAATCTAAAGTTTAACGGCCCATAGTATCAGAATATATATTTGAAACTGAGAAAAGAATTGTAGGTATGAATACCTGGGCTATGCATCCTCCTAGTCCAATGCCTTCAAAGAACTGATGGAAAGTTAAAGCAGCAATTAGAGGCTTTATTGTTTTAGGACTTTCCGAAGCGCCTAAAGCAATTCCAATAATTACAGAATGAACAATAATTCCCAACTCCAGCACCTACAATCCAATGAAAATTAGCCATTAGTATCATCAAATACTATGTTTATTCAAACACGAAGGACATTTACAAGTGAATCAAGATAAAGAGTAAATATATACCTGCGAGATTACACGATGACGGAGAAGTTCTGTATCACCAGAATAGGTTTCCATTGATATTGATCCATGAGTATGAACCGGGATTACTCCTTCTTTATCGCCAATAGCTAAATGTGCCTTGCTATTCGATTCCTTCCTGTAATAGGCTGTTGCATATGAATCCACCATAAGAGTCCCAATGGCGGAAACCATTGCAACAAAGCCCGTGAACGGAAAATCTCCCCACGGGTGCTCGCTAATACACGGTGATGTTAAATTTTCAAAAGCATCAGGGAGAACATGTATGAAACCTGTCGACAAAATTACTCCGGCAGCAAATGCCTTCGTGATGAAGAAGAAGTTCCTCTCTGGACTCAAAGCTGGTATTGTCTTGCTTAGTACAGGAAGACAAACCCCAATTGCACTCGCAAAGAGAATTGAAGCAATAGCAGCTAACTTATATTTGAGTGATAAGCTTTTATTCCGATCTTCCTCTTCAATTTCACATGTACATTCCCCCAAAACAGCCGTCGGAAGCAATAGGAGAAAAGACACGAAAATCATCTTGCAAATCCATCCACGTGAACGCGAGAATCGGAAATTCATACTACTGATTGTTGGGGGAAATCGATGAAAGTGAAAAGAGTCTCCTTTTCGATTAGAGTGATTTATTCACCATTTAACAAGACATTCACAGAAATGAAATGGGTTTTTAAAGATGATTTGTATTTGATGTAGCTGTAAATTACTAAATTCTGATTCTGTTTTCAAAATGGTGAAGACATAATGAGCTCATTAGACTGATCCTTCTCCCTCTTCGTACATATCTATCTATGATTCTATATACATGTATATATCGATATATACAAGCGAGATGAGACAATATTTTCCAAGGATGTCGACATAACAAACTGTTTTTGAAGAAAATAAAGAAATTTAATTGAACCAAAGAGTTTGTTAATTTTGAGGATTATGAAATCATGTCATCATATTGATTCACATAATCTATTAATGATAAATATTATTTGTTAATAATTATACAATTACTCGGAAATAGGTTGTGAATTTATTTTTAATAAACTTATTAGATAATGATGAACTAATTTTATTTTTTTATATAAATTTGTAATAGACTAAGGGCTTGTTTGATTGCCCAAGAATTTCCATGGAAAATGGAAAATCAATTCCACTTTCGAACATTTGTGGTGTTTGACAAGATAAATTTTCTATGGACCTTGGCCACGTAGACATTTTCCACCATTTCATGGAATTTGAATTCTCCATGTTACTGTAGCGGATATTTATTTATTTTTTCTTTTTTTTTTTGGTTTTGCAAAAGAAACAAATTTTATCCCTAATGGTAAAAAAATATTTCCATTTAATTAATAATTTTCATGTAAAACAAAGCCAAACGAACACCAAAATATAGATGATTTTTTGATCTTTTTTTTTCTTCGTTTTTTTGGGTTGGCAATGAACACAAATTCTAGGAACAATGGTAGAAGTGGATATCCCTTAAATTGACAATTTTAATGTAAAACAAAGCCAAACAAACACTAAAAAAATACTTTTTATTTCAACATTTTTCATGTGAAAAATTATATCAATCAAACACTATCAATTGACAATTTCAAGGAAAATAATTTTTAGACTATTCAATTTTTTGAAATTTATTTTCTTTCCACCCAAATTCCACATTTGCAATCAAACGGACCTTAATAGTTTTTTAAAAGGTTTTTTATTGATTAACTTGAAAACCGAGGAAAAGATTAATTAGGAGCCTCGCTTATTTTCTTGATAAAACAAGGCTAATTAACAAATGAAATAGTGTGAGCTACATAATGACTCAATTCATAGATAATCCAAACCATCAAAACTTTGAAGAATACGCCCTTCTCTATCGAATTATTGGAAAAAACTGCCCGATACAAAACAAAAATATAATGCTATCTACCAGCCGAGGTGATTTTCATTTGTCTATGTTGTAGTGAACTCCCTAATTCGTTGAGAGACCACTTAACACCTAAATCGGTGATAATCACCACGGTTCATTATTCAAAAAATTAGGTTATGTCAAACAGTTAAGACATTATGTTAAATCGCTCTCTTCTGTAATTAAATATGGGAGGTATCTTGGTGGCGGTGTGGTATGCTTATGTATATTACAAGAAGAGAGAAAGAGATGAAGAACTCACAAGCGGTTGCATTGGTTTTCGTGCTAGTGGTGGCGGCGGCAGCCATCGGTTTTGGGATGGCCGGCGATTTTGGGGCTTGGGGGGCATGTGATGGTGGGTCATTGGCATTGAAGAAGAAAACTAATTTAATATTTTTCCTGGTTGGACGACATTTCTAAAACATGGCCTGCACATCACCGTTTAACAGTCAAATTTGAGGGTTTCAAACGGAAAGATCTGATCATGTCAATGAAAGGTTCATACAGGGACGTACGTGATTGTCAAGATCAATGGCCGGTAAGTCCTAAATCCGCAGAAATACAAAACATTAGGACCATTTTTAATATATAAAAGCCATTTACTTCCACAGAAAGTAATTCATAATACTTATCACTAGCAGTCTTACATCTCATTTTATACTTAGTCAAAGGATAATATCAATTAGTCAAAGTTCAATCAAATAGGGACTTAAATTGTATAAATAATTTTATTGGGACTTAATTGACCAAATTATTTTATTGGGATTTATTTTATAAACTGTCAATACTTTAAGGTTTAAGATGGATAAAAAAATAATTTTTGGAGATTTACATATATATTATTGAAAGTAAAGTGGTTAGATTTTATATCCAATAGAAGTTAAGGATTTAATGTGATGTTATATGGAAGTGGAGGACTTAAATGCAAATGAGGGCATTAGTGGATTACAAGTGTCAAATGCTTAACTATTTTAGCCATTTTCAATTGATATATACCTACAAAAATTTGGAAACGGGGCAGAGAAAGAAAAGAGAAAGGAAAGAGAGAAAGAAGAAAAGAAAGAAAGGAAAAAAGGAAAAGGAGAAAGAAAGGAAAAGAGGTTGGGTTGGCTATTTCAATTTCATCTTCAATTTGACAAATTTTTTGGTATGTTTTATGCTTAAATTTTGTTAGGGTTGTGATTTATTGGTTTAATTTTCAGATTGAAGGAAGGAATATGTTTGCAAGCCAATATTTTTGAATTGAGAAGGCTACTTACATTAAGGTATGAAATACCACTTTTGGACAAAACCTAGAATTTTTATTTGGATTTTTGAATGAGTATAGTTAATAGGAATAATTGTAGAGATGAAATACTCATTTGAAGACATGAATTTATGGAGCAAGATGGAAAATTAAATTGGTTAAATTATAATTATTAGTTATAGTAGTTTGGAAGAAGGTATTATTTTTATGTTTGTAGTGAAAATTATTTTAATGAATTAGATTTTAATGAAAGGACTAGAAGGTAGAATTAGTTCCAATTGTGAAGGAAATTAAAGAATATATCCAAGTGTCGAGAAGTCGAATATTTTGTAGTTAAAGAAGTTAAGGATACTTGGTAGAGTGGTTCTTAAATTGGTTATTTTGTATCATATTTCAGGAGATGACGAGAAGATTGAAATCATGATTAGTCCATAACTTGGTGAGTGGATATAAAAAAAATTATTTTTCAGATATTAGTATTTATTATTATTTCATACAGTTGATTTTGACAGCATGATTTTTAGAATAAAATGAATTTATAATCAGATATTTTTAAAGTTAAATTTAATTCAATTAAATCATTTGATTTGCAAGTTATTTGAATATAACTGTTTCAGTATAGCTAAAGTTATTGTTAAAACCACCAGAAAGTACCCAAGTGATTTTAACCCAGTCTGCACTGGTGTGAATGTGTTTTCATATTGTATGACTAGTTATAATGATTTTACCCGCTCTGCACTATTGTGAATGTGTTTCCATAGTGTATGACCAGATTATCAGTGGTCTTTGTGACCCACTCTCGTACACACATAGGCTTTGAGCCGTGTACTAGGGTGATTAAAAGATAGCTCTGCGTACGTATGACCAGATTATCAGAATATCAGATTTGAATGGCTCTGCCTTGTGTATCGACATTACTCTGTACATGAGTAAGGCAATTCATCGGGTACCTTTTTGGTGTGATTTTCAGTATTTCTACAGCTTAACAGATTTCAGATTATAAAATTCAGTCTATTCAATTCTCAGATTAAAGCTTTCAGCTTATAGTATTGATCAGCAGCAATATTTCATATATTTTCACGGATGTCGTATTATTTATATTCATTACATTTTATAGTTACTTATCTAGAATAAAGAACAAAGAATTTTATGATGTATTCATGTTTGATTGTAAAAAGTATTACCAGATTTCAGAATTTCTTAAAGTTTTAATAGAGCTAGAATTTTCAGAAAATATGCATAAATGAGAAAAGTATGCTTATTTGCAAACTATCCACTCACTGAGTTACAAGCTCACGTTTTGCCACCCTTTTTCTGAGCAAATAGTAGCAGAGTTGAGCAATATTGGAGCCTGTCAATTCACCTAATTGAGCCCCACGTCAGTAGATGTATAGCCTACTTTATCAGATTATTATTTGATATCTTTAATACGTTTGGGGACCTTTGGTTGTAGAGTAAAGTTATTATTGATTTGCTAGTATTCTATTTGAACAGTTTGGATTTTGAGGGGCTGGTGTACCTTGTTTTATATTATACGTATTGATTTGAGGAAAATTGGTAATTTTTCAAGTGGTTTTAGTTCGTATTTCAAGGGAAACTCTATCAAAATTCTATTAAAAATATTTTTCAGTCAAGCAATTCAAGATTGCCTTGATAGTGGGTCCGACGTTCAGTTGGTATCTACCATCGACGCATGACACGTGTCGAGTCTACTAAGATGATTCGAGACGGATTGTGTCAATTGGTATCATAGCATGGTTCAGTGGTTGTTAAGCTCGAGTAATTAATGAGTTTCTTTTTCGGAATAGTATGTCATTGAGATTATTAGCCGTGGCATGGTGGCAGAACTCAAAGGCTCCAATGTGGTATTTGAAACTCATGTTGCCCTTGATAACGAAGGTATGGCAGCTAAGAAACTAGAAGGATCTTCATTGATTTGGGCATAATAAATATGAGGATATTATTGAGAATTATCCGATGGTAATGAGAGTTGTTAGAGTTGTCATGTTGGCGCCATGTTATATTTTCTCTAATATATTAATAATTGTGCTATATATCCAATAGGTAGTTAAGCGAAGAGTATAACTTTTCTTAGTAAGGAGATTGATTGGGTTATGAGTTTCTTTTGTGATTATTAGAGGGAATGTCCTTTAGATGCCTTGGATGATAAGTATTGTCTAATGTTGATATATGTATAATTGGTGACATTAAAGGTGAATCAAGATTGCTTTGTAAATCTAAAAGTTTGTGGTATTATGTGAATTATTGTGGGAATTTGTAATCATATTTAGTATATGGAAGAAAATGCATGTATTAGAATATCAAGATGTGTAGATATAGTAAGAAATCTTGTTCATGACAGAAATAATGAAACCATATGGAATGTCAATTCATGATGAAAATGGTGTTATTAAATATGTTTTGCCTAATGATTTTGAGTAAATTAATGGGACTATGGTTCCTTCCTTGTTGATTCAAGAACAATTAAGTATCTCCATACTTCAACTACTATAGAAGGAAATATTAAGGGTTTAATTGCTTAGTTTGGGTGTATGAAAATAAGTTATGATGAATGAAAAGAGAAAATGTTTCTTACTATTCAGAAATGACTAGTATGTAAGTATATCAGATGTAGGGATTTAATGGTTGACAATGTTATAAGTTGTTGGGTTGGTGTTCACGAAACATTTCTTTTAATTTTAAAATCCCACCGCAAGTGTACGGTTCGTTAGCAAGTAGTAAAATGGACTATGAGTCCAAGTATCGTTCCCACAAGGATTGGATTAACTCTAATTAAACTAATGTGACCTTAATCGAATCCAATTGAATGAAAATTTGGTCTAAGTGTGAAAAGCTCTAATTTTGGAAGAAACCCCCAATTAAAAACCCTAATTTTGAAGAAAACCCTAATTTCGAAATTGGAAACCCTAATTTCAAAATTCCCCTAATTAAATGACTCAACAACTCAATTAAAATGTAAATATGCAATTTTGGAAGTTAATGAGTAGAAATAAATTGAAATAGAATCATTAGGATCTCGAATCCCCAATTGATTACCAAAAATCCTAATTTCACAAATTCAATGAATCAATGGAAAAATGCCAATTCAATGTTCCTAAACCTATCCAATATACTCTCTCGATATATATTAAACCTACTCTTGCATACCACCAGCTTATATTTCTATGGATGATGCAAATATATAAGAATGCATGAATTTCTATGAACAATTAACGAATTGCATAAAGTATAGGGATATATTTCTATCTCCTATCGGACCCTATGTTGATTTATATTTTATCGAATCTATTCCACTTCTCTCGAATGTAAGAAATAAATCATCTAATCTCACATAATATATGGCCAATAATTATGGATGCAATGAAAACATATAAATCAAGCATATTATCCAAACGAAACTTTATATTGAATTCATAAGATATAAGAATTTAATAGTAATCAAAGGTTCATTGATCTCCTAATGAATTTAAACCCTAGCCTACAATCATGATTACTGAATCAAGAAATAAAAATGAAATTAAAAGATATAAAGAATACGCCCGTATGAAAATCCTTGTTTTCTTGTATGAAATCTTGAAATCCTTCTTGAATCCTTGTGAAATCAACCCAAGATTGTGTTTTTGTGCCTCCAATTTGTCTCTCTGGTCGTTCCCCCCTCTTCTGGACGTATTTTCCTATCTTATATCGTGTCCAAATTAGGTTAAAAAAAGAGTTGGAGTCGAAAAAGGAAACTGCAGAAACGCCCCGAAATCACCAATTTTTTCCCTGCATCCATCTATGTGACGGAATAGATGGTTACACTATGCGGTCGCATAGTTTGGCCATCTATGAATTCCCTTCATTTTGGTCCCCGAACTTTCCTTGTTGCTTCTTTTGACTTCTTTCTTCGATTTCTTCATCTTTTCAACAAATTTTATCCTCCAATTGATGATTGACACCATCAAATCTCATGCCACTCATTCGGCTCATCTTTCGAGTATTTGCGCTTTAGTCCTCCAACTTTCAATTGTCTTCATTTCAGTCCCTCTTCAATACTTTCTTCTTCCCATTGTTTTGCTTTGTCATTGAGCTCATACTTGGCATGTTGTTACTCTCGTTTTGCATTTAGCTCAACTTCTCAATATTTGTACATTTGATCCTCGAACTATCACTTTGTTGAGTTTTGGTCCTTCTTCGGCTCTTTTCTCCTGAATTCCACAATTTCCATTGAAATACCTACATTGCATGAATTTAATAAGATTAAGCCACAATTCAACCATTTTATCCATGTTTAAGTCATGTTTGTGAACCAAATAAGTGTGTAAAAACATACTTATCAAATACCCCAAACTTAAACTATTGTTTGTCCTCAAACAATGCAGTGACTCAATGCTAAACAAACATGGCTTAATAGCTTACCGTGTCTCAGGATTGGAACTTAGCATTAACAATAAAACGATATCAATAGTGTGAGAATAAAATTAACCTTTACTCATCAAATGCAATACTCAACATGTGTGTGTGAACTCATGCCAATATATCAAGCTTATGAATGGTTTATTCCCGACCCATAGTGGTCAAATTTATCCTTGCTTCACTCGAGAGATACACAACCCCCCAAACTTATTCTTTTCACTCTATTATCTCGGGGTGTGTTCTAAGATTGGGAGTTTAACAACTATAATCCTTACCCTCTCTTAGTTTGGATAGATTTTACCCTTACAAGTACACATATCAACAAGTAGAGACTCTCTTTAATTTGATTGTTTCAACCTTTAGGCTCAAACTAAGCTACTTACCTCGCATCAAGGTTAAAGTTATATCAACTAAATGTCCAACAAGGGCTGTCTCTCTTTTTTTTTCTTCATCTTCTCATTTGCTTTCTATATAACCCATGTAACGAGTTTTAGGCGATGACTCCCAAACCAGTTGGTCTTAGGGCACCAGGTTTTAAACCCTTGCAGCCTTATTCACCCGAGTTATAAAGGTTAGATAAGATGAATTTTTGTCAACTTCTCCTTTTTCTTGCTTTCTATATGACCCCTGTAACGAGTTTTAGGCCGATAATTCTCAAACCAGTTGGCTTTAGGATATTAGGTTTTAAACCTTAACAGACTTACTTGCTCGAGTCATAAAGATTTTTGAGAGAAGTGATGATTTTCCCATGTTTATTTTATGCCCTTTACTTGTTTTTCTAGATATTTGATCTCAACAACCGTCCTCAACTTAAAGCTTTCACCTATTTCTCACCTTCTGGGTCTAAGCAATCCACACAATATAATTTCATGCACTGAGCCTCTACTTATCTCCATGTTTCCCTATAGTGGCTCAACCATGTCCAAACTATCTTAAGGTGGTTTAACGGGCTAATGTTATAGAGGGTAAATCTAGGTTTCTCATATTTTACTCCAACAATCCCAATCAATAACTTAACATGAAAGCATGAGTGGTGTGCAAAAGAATGTCAAGCATTGCATCAATAAGTATTCGCTAATTAAATCTTGTACT